TGGCAAATTGATATAACTTTCAGTATTCTGGCACAAAACATCATAAATTAGAAACAGAATCATATCTTTGCTTTAATACTTAGCATTTTTACATAATAAACTTTTGACACTTAACATTTTAAATTATAGTAGTAATAACAAGCAATGTATAAGACTTCACAATTCAATCCTAATGAGTTTTTTTACAACAAAGACTTCACAATTCCACCTTAATCACAGTTTGTTCAAAACACTGGATTCAGGTCAAATGACAGTCACTAACTATTATCATTCTCTTATGTTTCCTCCAGGGACAGTGTCAAGCAAAAACTAATCACGCAAGAACAAAACATGAGAAAAAAAAAATCATTTAGTACATTGTAACTTTATTTCGGACAAAACATCGCAACGTTACTACAAACGCATTAGAATCAATAAACTGGACAAAACTCAGGACGTATTAGCTTTAACTTAGCCTGCCGACCAGGAAAAAAGTGTCAACTCTCCCCATGTGATATATTACAATGTCCAGAACAAAAATCGATGACCACTCACAATGAGCTTGCAGATTTGCTTGCAATCACGAGGACAAAATCAATAGCAACATTTGAGGACCTCGTTCAAAGCTTAATCAGTGTATTATAGCCCTCCCTTGACGAATTAACTCCTTTCCTTATATTTCTCATAAGAAACCAAAGATTTATCTACGGCCACTGTTACTGTCGCTCCGACCTAATTATCGAATCCATAAAAAATTATCCATTTACAAAATGTAACTAAATGGTTTTGAGAAAAGAAGATGAATTTTTTTCTCACTAAATTAATCAGAAGTGTACACACTGAGAATGTTTTAGTATTCTTTTTTGTCGTCGTAGAAATTTTTTAGACATTTCTCCAGCTTGATTGTTAATAATGGCACGAAATTCTTATTTAAAGACATAAAAAGTAGTTCCTCTTTTGCAAAATAAAGGAGGAATGTGGTCAAATATGATGGTATTTACATTGTCTTACATGTCTTATGAAAGAAAAAGAAAACCAGAAACCGATCGCTTTTAATGATATTACAATAAAATATGCTTACTGGTTTATATCACATGACCTCACATGTTTTCAACGTAATATAACCATAATTATGTAAACATGTATGATTTAAATAAACTGAAACGATGTCTTCAACCTTACACAAAGTCGATGGATAATGTAATTTAAATCAAAGTACTTAAGGTACAAATAGACTGAAAGGCGATTTCGCAAAATTGAAAACTTATTTATGAGATACTTTTTAGTTTGCCCTCGAACTTTAGTTTGCACTTGAACAACCATTTTTTACATGGAAATAGGTCAGTATGAGGCCAGCAAAATTCCAATTAAGCCTCTCAAAATGACCCCTCGGGGTAACTACATGTACACTAGAGTGCTGATCAGGGGAAGTAACTGCTGGAGACAGTTTATAATCTGATACAAGAATAGTATAAATTTGTATGTGAATTTGAAATATTACAATTATACATGTAACAAGTATTGTAGTACTTTCCCTTAAATGGAGCATCAAACATCCATTGTGCTCCATTTTTCAATATTTTTTTTTTGCTTTGTAAGATCATGTGATAAAAGATCCTTACAATTAATTCATAGACTGGCATTGGCAATAAATGTTGCAACGATCATTGATCTCGCACCATTTTTTCAATGCTTTTTCTTTTTTGCTTTATGATATCATGCGATATAAAGATTCTTATAATCTTTTCTTAGACTTACATTTAGGGTGGAGCGTCCGTGGCCGAGTGGTTAAGGTCGTTGACTTCAAATCACTTGCCCCTCACCGCATTGGGTTCGAATCCCAACAGGGACTTTGGATTCTTTCATGTGAGGAAGCTATCCAGCTAGCTTACGGAACGTCGGTGGTTCTACTCAGGTGCCTGTTCGTGCCTGAAATAATGCACGGAAGGGCACCTGAGGTCTTCCTCCACCAGTAAAGCTGGAACGTCGACGAATGACCTACACAGTGTTGGTGTGAGGTAAAACCCAAACAAACAAACATTTAGGGTACATTATGCCTGAGAAACAAATAAATTTTTCCTTCTTTGGAAAAGGTACATGTAATCTTAAGTTTAATAACGTTTAAATAAATGACATCGTAATGGATTCAGAGCATGTTTGATGCTTATAACCTGTGTAAAGTAACGTTGAATAGGATATTATAAAAAATTTGTCATAAAAGTAGCAAATTGTAAACAATGTATTTTATCTTTCTATAAACAATACTAAATCACTATAACTAAATTTTTTACAAGAAACATGTACCTAAAAGCAACAGATCAGGTAATTGACCAATTACTTTTTTTGAAAATTACAACAGGTCCCGACACCAAAAATAAAACTAAAAGCAATTCTGAGGCATAATGGGCCTTTAAATTTGTCTATGAAATGTTATAAAGCTATTGCCACACTCTCCGAGACTTGTTCCTATCAGTCTACAGGAAATTACAACTAATGTAAGATACATTTACTATACTATATATCTTAATCGCAAATTTTAAAGAGAACACACTAATTCAGAGGATTGGAATCCTCTAAAGGAAAAATAAAGACGAAAATCAATTGCCTGTTCGGAATATAACTTGCATATGAAATTAGGGTTGACATTTTCATTCATATAAATAAAATGGCTTAAGAACGGCCTTAATTGACGTTATGCAAATAAGAATTACATTTCCAGCCATAAAAAAGAATCAAAAACAAGTGACAGTAAATAAATGGTGAAATTCCAATAACGTGAAAGAGCTACTAGCTAAAATGCTTACATTGCAAATATTGTATTTCTATATCTTTTATACAGAATCTTAGACAAGACAAACAGAAAAGATAGATGGAAAGGAAGTTGGTTTGACAATGATAAAGACAATGTTATAAATGTAATAATTGTCACCTTAGTGTAGTAATGGGCCACCTAGTATGATTTAATAGGTGTTAACAAGATGATAGTATTTAACTATATTATCCCCATTTTCAGCTATGGTTAAAACAAAATTTATGATGTAAGAATATCTAAAAATTAAAAATCAAAGAACAGCCAAGGACAAATTATTTAAGATGTTAACTGCTTAAGATTGTAAATAAAGCCTCTCATAGCCAAGGATTTCATGTCAACTCAGTTTTATTTTAATGATATTTACTGACTTATAGTATATCGTACATTTTTTTTTTAAATTTCGTTAATGATGGCTTCTTACATGTAAATGACACATATACATACACACACAGAGGGAAAGCCACAAATTCCATGAACTTGTTCAATAGTCACTGTAAAATATAATCAATTTAGAAAGATGTATCAGACATGAGGCTGCGATGCTGCAATACATCATCCTTAATAAATCAGTTTTCTTTGTTGTTCAGTGTGCATATTTCCAGATAATACATTTCTCATGGCAATTGCATGGTATTTAAAGAGCATCGCAATCGAGTTAAAAGCAACATATACTGATATACATGTTGAATTTTGCCTGATAATATTTATGACTGCAGCAAATACTTCAACTATTTCTTTACTTCAATCAAAGGAATGAAATACTGAAGTATTACAATTTGCCATATACAAGGACTAGTAATAGTGATATGGCCGTGCAGAAAAAGTTGTTTGCTAATTTTCTCACAGCCATTTTTTCTTGGCTATTCAACCTGATAAAAATCTTAACAAGTAATATCATAACGTTGAGCAAAAACTATTTTTCAAATGTTAAGAACCAGATCTTCGTAGGCAAAGTGTTAATGCAATTAATCAAATGCTTTCGCTACAGGCACTTTAAGGTTAAATCTAAACTGTTGTTCTTGCAGAGCCTGTACATGTAACCAATAGAATATTCTTAACATGTGCTTCGGAATATTTCAATGCATTAAAAATTTTTTTACAGAATGTTTATTTAATCTTTGAAAGCTGAGAATGAAATTAAAATCTTCCCTCATGGCAGAAATTTAAATATCAAGATCGGAAAACAATCGGAAACAAGCTGAATACCAATGGGCTTCACAAGGAAAATCTATGCAAAATACATAAATTGAATATAAATGAATAATTTCTTTAACAAATTTACCTAAATGAAAATTATTAAGAAAGTTTTTCCTTGGATAGCAGGGTTTTCATTTTCGCCTGAGGCAACAGATGTGCCAACGAAAACAATCAATTTTGCCAAGGGTCAAGGGAAATGTTTTAATATACAGGCTGAAAATACAAAGGATTTTCACAGTATTTAAACTTATGATCCGGATCGCCAATCTGTTAATGATGAAAAACCCTCGGATAGACATGGATTTTAAGATAATTCTTACGATTGTTAAGCATAAGAACCTGTTCCAACAGAACCATTCAAATGAATGTCAATTACCTTGTGAGCATACAGTACTATTAAGACATGGTAAATATTGATTTTTATCACTTCTGTGTGGAAAATGTAAGAATAACTGTCCATTTCTCTACATATTTAAGCAAATTATCTGTAGATTTAAGCCACTTATCTCTAGATTGAGCCATTTATCTGCAGATTTTAGCCATTTACCTTCAGATTTAAGCCATTTATCTGTAGATTTTTAACCAGCGCTTAATAGAACACTTACCATCTAAATCAAACAAATCTGACAATTATTGTTTTTTATGCGTGGGTGTTACTTGTTTTTGTTGTTGTTTTCTTCTTCTTTCATTTTCAATCAATAAGGAACAAGTGCAAAGACTACACTTGAACAGAAATATGTACAGCCATTTATTGTTATCCATATTAATATTTGGCATGATTTTATTGCAGAGCATTGGCCTAACCACTCTTAAATAATTCTAGAGGACCCCTAAGCTTGTTCTACATTGAAACCCAATAGTTGCTGAAAATGTTCGCCAATACATGTTCCTTAGTCCTATAATAAAAGGTTGTTTTTTTGTGTAAAAATCATACTGCCCAGACAGAAAGTCAAATCAGTTTGACAGTGAAATTTCGTACTTATGCTGTAAAATAAATTGTAAAGATTCTAACCTGGTGGCAAGTAATCAATATGGCAGCAAACGCAAATGTTCCAGCAATGCCCTGTGCTGCTTTAGTCTGTAGAAAGATCAACGGCTGTATGTCCGTCACATTGTTTACAACCATACCGGTTGTTACTATTGAGGTGTTTGTGCCCGCAGTTGATGAGATTATTCCACTTACATTCTTGGTCGGAGCTAACGTAGATGTGAGATTACCTGTTGTATTGGCCATCTGAAATATTGGTATAATGGAAAAATGTTACAATACTTTCATGAAGAATATAATATACTGTTACAAACACTTTTCATTTACATTGTTCATCTTGTCTACAATTATCATTTAAGGCAATAATTATGCAAATATATATACATACAATGTATGCCAAATTATGTGTTTTTAGAAGGCCTGTTTTTCTACATAGTGATACACTTACAGAACCATCATTCTTCATTATCAAAGTAAATTCAAAGTGTAATTGATCAAAGCAGCATCTGTGCCAGGCTCCTGATTGAGACAATACCTTCTATTATTGCAGGAGTGAATATGCAAAAACAAGAACTTGTCACTTGAAAAAAACAAATGCTCCCCCACCCCCCAAAAAAAGCTGAGCCCAGTGAAGGAACCATAATTTCCCTGATTTTGTCTTTCGATGAAGACATGGTTTCTATAAATACACATGTGATACAAATAGTTAAGAAAATGAACTAAGACTTTCTTATATTCTCAGTATATGGCCTTGACCTGTCAGATGCTGACCTGGTTCCTACACTTGGCAAAACATCTTTATGTTGCAAGTATTTACAGTATTCTTAAAGTGCATTTAAAAGGGTGGTTGACTTGTACTTTTATGGAAAATTTTCTTCTAGATTATAATGACCCTGACTTTTAATCTTGTATGTAAGGTATATTAAGAATCATAGTTGCACAAAATTATTTTAAAATCCATCCATGAATACAATGTTTGAAATTAAAGTGACATTATGCCAATCCAAGGCTACATGTATATAGTTAGTGAACAGGTTACAGATAAAAAAAGTTTACATTTTACTATAATTTCTTTTGATTTTATAATTAATTTCATATAAATGTTGAATAACTCACTTGGCCAATGAAATTTCTGTAAATATCCATTAGAATTAACCTGTAACGTTGAATTTATAAAAAGAGTGGGGCAATCCTTTTATATTTTAGGCAGATTCTTTTGGAATGTATGGCAAATTCAGCTCAATGAAACAATGAAAATAAGAGCATACTGTCACTTTTAATGCACAAAACTAGACAATCACGAGTTTTGGAAAATAAGTAACCTTGACCTTTCAGCTGGAAACCTAATTCTAGTGTGCAACACATTGTCACAATGTACAACTTATTCATACAAAGGTATTTTAAAATCTATCCATGAATGACAGGATTTTGGCATCCATGGGTAAAAAATATAAATGCACTTTAAATAACTAGAAATTTCCTTTACATTCAAATGTGACCTTGACCTTCAATTATGCTACAAAGCTGGGTCTTGTATACAACACATAACCTTATTGTTCTACTAAAAATTAATGCAATCCATCGAAGAATGACAAAATTTACCAAATGGACACTGCTACAGGTACATCATACATGTATCTACATCATACAAGTCACACAAGTTATGACTAAAATTTGTAAAAAAAAAACATGTTTGTCTCTTAATTTCAGGTCTTTTATCCATCTTTTGCATTTTGTATTATTTACTGATGATGCAATTATATCTATTGTTGAAATAATTCGGTAAATCATGTGATAAGACATTTTAGCAAGAGATAACAGCTGAAGTTTTCTACCCGTCGGAAATTACTCAGTTGCTTAATAATTAGACTGATATTCTTAATTAGATTTTTATATGACATTCATGTTCGTGTAGTTCATGTAGTATCCAGGCCAGAACATCATCAAGGATTCTAAGCTGAGCTTCTTAGGCTGATTTAGGAGCGTTTTCCCTTCTTGCTTCTTTGTGAGGGTTCCCACATTATTGTGACTGTAAACTTTATTTGTATATCCTACTACTGTTTTATTATATACACTATATTTGTTTCTTTTATGTCTTATAGATAATATTTACACATAAAATTTTCTTGGTAAACAACTGGAGGCAATGATCTACGCAATGATGAATGATACTTGGCTTAACTCCTTCACTTTTCTCCATGGCATGCTACATTGAGGAATAGTAGCGCATCTTCAGCATAAACCGCTTGTCACAGAACAGTATAAAAATGGGTAGGCTAAAGACCTTAAGCTACAATTCAAGGGGCAGGACGTGAAGTGGTTGCACACTTGGTTCAAGCGAGCGAATTGGTTGCAAACTTGACAAAATGGCAAACACGGCGTCATTTTTTGAAACGGGTGAACGAATTTTTGCCAGGCAAGTAGGTTTCTTTGTTATTTTGAAGTTCATTAGTATGTTTATTCCATAATGCAATACATATGCCACACTCGGTTAAAGGTTTCAGCATCCTAGATTCTGTTTTGACGAAGTTATTGAAGATATAAACTGATCATGTAGATATTTTGAAATTTGACATGTGACTGTTCTAGTCGGTTTTTCTCCTTATTTATTCGAATTTGTAAGTTTAGAACTGCATTTAACAATAACAAAATATGTTTCTGTCAATGCTGTACAAATGGTTTAGTTCGCAAGTCCGAAGATAACGTTCAATACACAAAAATATATTGTTCAAGCACATTTTGGTTGCAGACTTATACTTCAAGCATTTTTGGTTGCAAACTTTTGTGTCAATAATGTGGCATGCATATTTTTAGCGAGAAATAACTTATCTTTTTTTTTTAATAATTAGCAATATTAAGGCAATTATACCCGTTCATCTTATAAGAAATATGTATACAAATTGTGCATGCGTGCAGATATATCCTAACACAGGATCTTTCAAATAGATATAAAACACAATATGCTAAATTGAAGTTCAGTTGTGTTTATCTTCATCATTTTTTCTCCTCGATATACTTCTTTTCTTTTTACATAGTCTTAGGACTTTTTTATCTTGGCATGATTAACAGTAAAGGAAAAGAAGAGAAAAATAGCAACAAACAGCTTTCATTATTGTTCTTTTTTGAGATTTGAAATAAATTTGATTATATAGTAGAAAAACTATATTAACATTGACGCAAGGGCATTATTCACATTGTTCCTTATTATTGACCAATCGAAACATCTTCCAAATTCCCTAACTCGAACAATGATTTTAAGTAGTTTTGTCACATATCAGTCAATGTAAATTACCAATCGTATATCAGTAATATTATGATCTAATAGTCAAAATACATGTAATTTTTAGAATACCAATTGACATATATGATATGTACATCAAATCCGAAATATTGTAAACAAGCATGTCATTTTAACTTTTGGTTTATAAGTACATTTACATACTTTATGTCTAAAGCAACTGCTGATCTTTACATACGAAACAAACAAAATAACATTTATTGTGGTTTTGATAAACTTTGGAAATTTTGCCGAGTAACATCGTATGTGTGCACATGTCCTTATGTTTATGATGAAAATAATTCACTTACATACAGCTGTACTCTCACATACGTTTGTTTTGTATGTAGTTTTCATTTGCATGTTACATATGATGACATATTTTAGAATTGAAGGATCAATAAATATTTTTCTTCTTTGTGCTATTATTTTGTTTGCAGGCTTTTACTGATGATTATAGTATTGAACTGAGAACCATGTAATTTGAAACATAAAGTGCATACTTGTTGTAAAAGAAGAAAGTATAAATAACATTTATAACAAAACAAGTAAAAGAACATAAATGTCAATAATTGCCATTGAAAATAAGTTAATAAATATAAACTACTACAATCCTTTTGCAAAGTTTTACTATGGATTTCAATAGAATAAGAATAAGTTTGCAACCAAAAATGCTTGAAGTATAAGTTTGCAACCAAAATGTGCTTGAACAATATATTTTTGTGTATTGAACGTTATCTTCGGACTTGCGAACTAAACCATTTGTACTGCATTGGCAGAAACATATTTTGTTATTGTTAAATGCAGTTCTAAACTTACAAATTCGAATAAATTAGGAGAAAAACCGACCAGAACAGTCACATGTCAAATTTCAAAATATCTACATGATCAGTTTATATCTTCAATAACTTCGTCAAAACAGAATCTAGGATGCTGAAACCTTAAACCGAGTGTGGTATATATATTGCATTATGGAATAGACATACTAATGAACTTCAAAATAACAAAGAAACCCACTTGCCTGGCAAAAATTCGTTCACCCGTTTCAAAAAATCACGCCGTGTTTGCCATTTTGTCAAGTTTGCAACCAATTCGCTCGCTTGAACCAAGTGTGCAACCACTTCACGTCCTGCCCCTTGACAATTATCCCAGATATTAATTTGTAGTTTTTCTCAGATTTAGAACCTTAGAAGATTTAAGTTCTATCTATATTTTAGTTACTGGAAACCACTCTCTTATTCATTTAATTTGACGGCTTTACACTTACCATGTACATACCAAACATGCCTCATGTATATATATTGGATGTTTTAAAATAAATTCATTTTTAATCTGTCAATTACCGGTCAATTACAGTACTTAATTGGCACTCAGTTTCAACCTACAGAGATCTTTCACATGTAATCTTAAATAGTTTAATAAAACTAAAATGTAATTAAACAATGACCATTCATTAGACTATGACATGTCTAACTCCATGGATTATAGGCCTACATGTACATACTTTAGACATGATCAGTGGATCTACATGATCTGTCAAATTAATTTGGAAAAAACACCTGTTAAGTAAATAAAAATCCTTTATTTCTGTTATGATACCTACTTTATTATGCAACAGTCATATATCCAATATGATTTATTAGATCCGTTCAAACTATCATTCGATTTTGCTCTAAATAATGTAAAATATGCTCTACATCGTTCAGTATTCGGATAATTGACAAATAGATTGTGTTATGGCCACTAACCGGAAGTGACGAATAATCACCTGGATTACGTCATGGATAAATTATTTTGATTTTGTAAATTAGCACGTTACTTTTATGCGGGATGAATATTTCTGATTTCGAAATTACAATGCAACAAAATTCGTTTATTGAATAGCAAAATAAATGGATTAGAGCGATACATATACTTGTAATATTTCCTTTACTTTTGTACCAAAATCAACTCGGCCCATTTGTGGGAATAAGACACTTCAACACCCAGACATTTCATGCCTGATATTGTAAAGACACTATTTAAACCCACAGGTGCATGACGTCTATTATTCCTTTCTTACCTTCTTATATCTATAATAAACATGATTGTAATAGGTATAGGGGTGCTGGCTGTGTGGTAGACGTCAGGTATCTGTGACTGCACCCATTTGTGCCATTGGCTCATTTTTAGTTTTAACAGGAAAATTATCGTAGAAACTTCAAATGACCTGTTAAAGGGTTGGCCCGAAAAAATATTTTTTCTAAACAACCTGCCATGTTCTTAAGTGAAATTATTATAGGGGAACAGGGCACTTTACCGATAGACACTTCAAACTTATTCCAATTAGCATTTTGTTAATTATTTGTTTAATGATTACAGTAGTAAACAATTTATAAAGGAAAAAAAAACAATAAAATATTGTCAACATCACTATATATGCATAGTCAATTTATGCCAATAAATTAAAAGAGCAAAGAAACTGAAAAAGAGATATCTAATATAAATTGGTGATAGGTTCAGACATTATACAAAATAAGTTATTTTGATTCTGTATATATGAGGACATTACTTTTTATGCAGGATGATTGTTTCTGATATGGAAGTTATTTGAGAACAAAATTTATTTTTTGAAAAGTAATAACAGTTGTAAGTCATGTAATAAATAACACAGTCCCTATTCCAGAAACTTTAGTTTCGTACCAAAGTAAATGTATACAATTTAGTCCATATTTGACTCATTTTTGAGCATTCATGAAATAATCGTAGGAATTTCAAAAATGGGCTTGATAAAGTGATTTATTTTTAAAGCAACCTTCCAATGTTTAAAAGTACTATGTATCATAGTATTAATAATAGTTGGGACGAAAAGTTAATAAGCAGTTATCAAATTTTGACATCTCGGCCACGGACAATCGGACAATTTGGCCATATTTGGGATTATTCTGACCATTTTTTATCGGTGTTTGGACTTTACACATCGAACTATATATTTTTATTGATTTATTTTTTATACAACTCGTTCTGGTTTATTATAAACGCTCTTTTAGATTTTAAGAGATACTAACATGGAATATGTTGGTTTTTGCACATTTTATGATATTTTGAGTGCAGACCAGATTTAAGGACATTTTGGATCAGAATTTTAGGAAATCACTCCTTAATCATATATAAGATCGTTTGAGATAATTAACCATAAATGACTTTAATCTTTGTTTTTAGACAAAAAAATAGTAAGTGTAAAAAAATGAGAACAAAGATCAGCAAGGCAAATAAATAAGTTTAACTTTGCTTACGATCGCGCACACACTTGTAATCTGCGTCTTGCTCAGACTGAAAGCATTCTCACGACTTTTAAATTGCCCTAAGCCATTTCTGGTTAAATTCGGGCATTTTGTTCTTTTTAATGGAAATAGCGTGACTTGGGAGTTCAGCTCCCAAGGAACCAATGGCTGTGGAGTGTCCTCTTACCATGTTAATGTTTAACAAAATATTTGTTTCATACCTTATAAGATATAACCAGTGCGCATCCAGCATTTGTACAATGTAATGGTCTAATAGTAATTAAATGTATTATTGGATCAAAATAATGCCCATCAAAACCATATGGTACTCTATCTAGCCCCATTTTCATTTTCCGAGTAAAAAAAATTGATATTAAAACCATATTGTACTATATAGAACTAAATTTTTTATATTATACAAAAAACACTATTGGTTTAGGGTGTTTTTATGATTTAATGTGTTTTCTTCTCCTCAATTGGTGTGTGGAATAAACACACTTCAAAATTAGCTTTGATTCTATCGGGCTCGTAAAATATACATTAAGAATTTTTTCTCATTTTGTTACAAAGTGTCTTTTTACAGCTACCGAATACTGTACATACCCCTCAACGTTTGAGTCAATAAAGATCCATCCATGTTAAATCTTAACACTTACACCAGGTTAAAATAAACTTTTATATTTGATAAAATTCAATTCATTAACATATTCGTTGACTTATAAATGAAAATAGAATGGGAACTTTTTAGATAAATTATCAAAAGGCCAACTTATGTAAGTAGCCAAACTTAATTTCATTCATAATTTTTTAGGCAACTAGTGATGATATATTTGAACACGTACAGACTATGAATAAAAAACTGCTTGAATAGCTGTTTTTGTTAGAATAAAGAAAAAATGTACACATACTTAAAAGTTAAACTCCCTATTTTTTACATTTTTTTTCACCAGATCATCAGCGTGTACACATATTCGTGAAACAATTTTCGTGAAGAAGAAGGTGTAGCAAACCTGTAGTTGCATACATGTACCGTGTTTTTTATTGCACGTAATAGCGTACAGTGACCGTTGTGATAGCTAGCTAGATAGATCTTCATTTTGGAAACCTAAATAAATGATAAACTTCCGCTTATTTTGTAGCGGGAAATTTATTTACACTAAACATTGTTACCTTTTAAAACCAAACACAGTCATGCAGCGGTCTATAGCGTAAACTTTTAATTATTTGTATCTATGTATTTTTCAATTATATCAAATTTTATCTATGATGGTTACGTTATAATTGTAATCACTGGCCCTGGTGTCATGAATTCCCATTGGCAGGGCAGGCTGGTTAAAATGCTCAATTGGGCTTTAAATGACATAAATAAATCATATTTTAAGAAAAATAATAAAGATGTTTCTTTTAAACTTTGTTTGTTCATTGAACATAAGATATGACTTATTCAGAAAAAAAATTGGTCACTTGAACTGCCCATTTTGTGAGATGGCTTTCCCCTTTTCCATGTTTTTATAACAAAATTTTTGAATTCCTAAAAATATGTTGCATATGCTACGTAATATGAAATTATGGAAAGCCTATGCACAGAGGAAGTGGGTTAAAATAATTGTTTATTTTTTAAATAACATATTCCGTTATAAAAGTGTTACTTGGTATTTCATGCACTGCTTCATTTATTACGCAGAGCACCTCGACGATAATTATTTAGCGGAAAAGTTGCAATTGTTTCGATATCCGAATACCCCCCCTTATATGAAAGTAGGCAAAGCTTTATAGACGGGGAAGTGTAATAAAAAAATTGTTCATTTTTTTTATATACAGTACTGGACACGCGAAACCCGCACAATTTGCGTATTCGCGGCGAACTCTCATGCTTTATAACGCGAGCGAATTCGCGGCAACTTGAGACAATTGCCGCGAATTCAACTCGCGGCGATTTTGCCGTGAACATTTGCCGTGATTCGCGGGGAATAATACATGTTCATTTGTATAATAAATGTAGATCTATTTATAATTGTACTCTGTGAACTTGAAACCAGATATACATGTACAAGTACGAAAATTAATTAGTAGATCTACATGAAGTTGTATCAAGAAAACATAAGACATAAATTCAAGCATGGTCAAATTACCGATGTGATAAACTAATCCTGCGTAAATATTCCCGTACGACCTGGAAGAGTTATAGTGGATCACCGGGACATTTCGTTCTCTCGGGTGATCATTACTCAATTTATTACACGTCTGTAAAAAATAACACACGCAAGATTTGTCTCCTATAATTTCTGAATGGCGGATATTTGCACCCCTGTTTTAAAAATGTTAAAATATTTAATTGTTAGTTACCGAAAATTATCGCCGATTGTTGAAATTCCATAGCGCTAAAAGACACAAAAACACTCGCGCAAAAAGAAGCATCCATAAATAAAAGGAATATAATGTTTCCATTGTTAAATAATAAATACAAAATTTACACACGAAATGACCTCTGACAAATGACTGGTCGGCTCTTCTAAAGAATCTGTGAATCTTTGATGTTTACACACCTGTAGTTGTTGCCGAATCATCAAAGAAATGCCGACACTCGATTGACTTCCACCTCTTTTTTATATATCAGAAAAAAACTGTCATTTCTTTTTGTCAAGGAATGATTACACATGTTTAATTATTGCTCAAGTAAAAAAAAATGTTTGATATTGATTGTGTCAATTATTGACATATTATTAATCGTAAGTGCATTTTGATTGTGATATTTTATTTACATTTTTATGATCTTGAAGATATTGTGCAATACTTGTGTCGATTTATAGTAATATAAATCCGTGCATGGGCTTAGTATTTAATCTGTGTCGTCAGTCATAAACAAACGAACATGTATCCCAAAGCACATTAAAATTACCACATGGTAAACTTGTGACCATGCAGTACTGTGTGACGTAAGGAAAATATCCTTCCCTGGTTGGTCGCTAATTTATGTAAATACTTTAAATAGTAACACCCTAATTTTATGCACAGAATGCCCTCGTTACTTTACATATTAAATGTGTGATTTAACTCCGATTTTATTTTTGTTTTCGAGGGAATTTTTTGGGTCGAATGCCCTGGCTGATTTGGCGGAAATAAAAAAATCTGATTTGCATCTTGCTTCTCATCACCTACTCATGCACCTGGCATTTTTTACTCGTGAAATTGAAGGTAAAGAATGTCTCAGCTCAATTTAAGTGATAAAACTTTTACAATTAGCGTATTAGACGTTAATAATTAGTTACACCTGTGAATCGGTGCTAAATGTCGCTTTGCATTGTTCTAAAAATAGAATATGTGCGAAAGTAAACAATGGATTTTAATTACATTTGTATTATTATCAAAATAACAATTGGACAATTTGTTATCGTGCGTTCTTTGATGTAGTACCAATTACCTTTTGTAATTTCAATCTCGTTTTATTGTTAACTAATTTTCACTAGCACCTGATTGCTTTGTTTTAGTATACAAAATGTATACGCTGTACATGTTCAAATGCTAAATATTTATAGATATACATGACATTTACAAGATTTTTTTTTAAGTTTTCAAAATTAAAGACCACGGGAATGACCAAGTAGTACTTTCTAATACAATTATTGCTGAAGATTCGCCGTAAATTACGGCGATACATCGCGGCGATTTTTCGTGAACCGCCATGAAATTCGGCGAACTTGCACGCGGCGATGTTTTACCGCGTAGTGTCCCGTCGCGACATAGACTACACCCGCGGCATAACGCGACTTTTGCGGGTTTCGCATGTCCAGTACTGTATATTTTCTGTTTTAAAAGTGTCGTACCATATTTTAGAACAGGGAACTAGACTGTAAAACTTCCTTTTCATTTAGAACATCTCGGCTATTTTGTAAACTTCTAAATCAAAAAGTTGCGATTTGTACATTATTGGAATACTCACTGTTTATTATTGCGTTATGGTGCCCAACATGAAATGACACTGAAAATTTTACTGATAGGTAGGCATACTGATAGGTATATGCAGTGTTGCATCTAGAATTTTAAAATTATGGGGGATTGTCACCCACTCAACTGAAAAATGTGGGGGGCATAATTCTACCTTACAATATGACGTACCGAAAAGAATTCATTTATTTTACGTTCAGGCATTTTTGACAGCTATCGTCCACTCAAAAACAGAAGTAGAAAAAATAAAATATTGACGAATACTACAAAACAAACACGAGATGACCCAGTCGACTGCTACACGCGATTTAGTACATATTTTAGTCATAACCACAAGTGAAAACCGTCATGGCTGAAGCGTTCAAGATACGATGAAGATAAACTGAATTAAGTTGAAAAGATCGTCAGATGCGCGACTTGGCGCGCATCAACTTCATTAAAATGCGCGATCTGCATAAAAAATGCGCAAATCGCGCAATCGCGCGACCTAGATGCAACACTGTATATGTATAGCATTCTGTGCCCCCCCGCCATGAAATGGCTGGGGCATATAGTGTTACCCTGTTCCGTCATCATCAGTTTCCGTTCATTATCTTGTAGTTTCACAGAGATGAGAAAATACAGGTCAAGTTCGAATTTGGTCATGGTCTGATAATTTTTTACAGAGTTATGCCCCTTGATTAAATTTTCAGTTTCCGTTCATTATCTCCCCAACGGTATTACACATTCCACTCAAATTTGACATATGAATACGGCAAAGGAATGCGCAGGTCAAGTTTGAATTTGGTCATGTTTTGATGATTTTTGGCAGAGTTGTGCCCCTTACACATTGAAAATAATTTGAACTTTTCAGTTTCCGTTCATTATCTCCCGAACGGTATTACACATTCAACTCAAATTTGACATATGGATACGTCAAAGGAATTCCCAGGTCAAGTTCGAATTTGGTCATGGTTTGATGATTTTTTGGCAGAGCAGGGCTCGACATTAACGGTTGTCCGACTGCCCGGGACAACTAAAAGTTTGGTCCGGGCAAGTTATTTTGAAAAGCACTTGTCCGACAGGGCAAGTGAAAATAAAAAGCATCATTGACAAAATGCATGTACAAAATGAATAGAAATAACATCTTTTCATTTATAAACATCTTTAAAACAAAATACACCATGAATCATTATCAATAATGTGAATATACTACGGTCATGTACATTTGTTGATGTAGGAAACGGAAGGAAAAATATGAGCATGCGCCGCGGTAAGGTAATTCCCCGTTCTAATAATAGACTATATCTAATTTTGTACAAGGTAATTCCCGGGTTAGCTGTTGTTTAAATTTTGATGTTTGCATGTAAAGATATCATTAAAAATATGTAAATAATCATATTGATCTTTAAATATAATTGTTAAATAAAGTTTTTGCATTTAAAATGATTTATTGTTTAATCTAATATAACAACATTATGAACACAACGAAGACTCGTTTACGGCTGTTGACTTGATGATTGAACGGGGAATTACCTTACCGCGGCGCATGCTCATATTTTTCCTTCCGTTTCCTACATCAACAAATGTACATGACCGAAGTATATTCACATTGAATAAACAGATGAACCGATGTTTTAGAAAAACTACTAAATACAAAAAATATTTGTGTCTAACTAACAATCAATTTCATAAACAAAATGTCCAGTTTATTACCTAAAACAAGAAGTATTTAATAATGTATGAGCTTGTTTGTTTTTCTGATTTATACATTTTTACCATTTTTAGGTCAGGACAAGTAAGTCTTAGGTCAGGGCAAGTAGTTTTAAAAACTACTTGCCCGACAGGACAACCTGATTCAAAAGTTAATGTCTAGGCCTGCAGAGTTAAGCCTCTTTCACTTTGAATATTAATATGAACTTTTCAGTTTCCGTTCATTATAAATCTCCCCAACGGTATAACACATTCAACTCAAATTTGACTTATAGATACATCTTAGGAATAAGCAGTTCAAGTTCGAATTTGGTCATGGTTAGATGATTTTTGACAGAGTTATGCCCTGTTCACTTTGAAAAAAAAGGAAATTTTCTGTTTCTGTTCATTATCTCCGGAACAGTTAAACATATTCAACTCAAATTTAACATATGGATATGTCATAAGAATACACTGGTCAAGATCAAATTTGGTCATTGTTTGATGATAACTGACAGAGTTATTTCTCTAGAACTTTGAAAAAAATCAGAAATTTTTAGTTTCCGTTCATTATCTCCCCAATGGTTGTACACTATCAACTCAAATTTGACATATAGATACATCTTAGGAATAAGCAGTTCATGTTTGAATTTTGTCGGGGTTCAATTATTTTGGACAAAGTTATCTCTTGAATGTTGGAAAAATTTTGAATTTTCAGTTTCAGCACTCACTTTTGTGGAAATGTATGTAGTAATTATCTTACAATTTACAAAAGGTTAACACTGAATTGTTTCTGTGCCTTGAACTTTGTATAAAAATGGTTTGTGTTTACATTGAATAGTTTTAAGGACTTTGAACTTAAAATGAAAAAAATAGTTTGTGCAAAAAATTTGGAACTAAATATTACAACATTTGAAATTTTGGCTGCATGCCGGGGCATCCGTGGCATGACAACACATTTCTAGTTTTTTTAATATTTTAAAATTTCCTTTTAAAAATACACATGTAGTCTATAGCCGGGCAAGCCAAAGCCTGGAACTGCTTTGCGCCCCTGGTCTTTGACTTGCCTGTTTTATCATTTACATTCATTTAAAATGGCAGCACACAAATAGACATGACACTGAAAATTTCACTGAAAGGTATAGATATCTATGTATTTTTTTTATTTGATTTTTGTGTAGTCTATAGTAGGTTTGCAAACCAAGCCTTTGAGTTTGACTTCTCCGTATAAATAAAATAGGTTAAATAACTTCTTTATGCTCTAATTTATTACGCCAACACCTGCCAGCATACATTTCATTCAGTTTTCAGAGAAAACTTCAAAGTATAATATTCAGTGTCAAAGAATTGTCAAAATATGTATGCCAGAAATAGAATATTAAATCCAAATATATAGAATGAATGTTCAATGTACTGGCGCAACAGTGTTAAGCAAAATGAAGTTGTTGGACATATTTCTGTTAAGAATCTTACATTGCAACATAATTTTTATGAACTTCAAATATTTTGTTTTCTAAAAATGGGAAAAAGAAAAATAATTCTGTTTCTGAATTTTCCCCATTTCCCTAGTCCTATACATTAGAGGTTTGAGGCTTGTTATAGTTTATGATGGTCAAGCCTGACATGTAATAGGTATTGTTCATAATCGCATAGCAACATAAAAAATTAAAAAAAGTAAAAAAAAAACTCAAAGCAACGTCATATTTATAGGACTACCCTTTCACCCCTGTGACACAATTTTCCCTTTTCCACCATTCCCCTATACTTGAAAAAAGTATTGGTCTTCAATGATGACCCAATCTTGGATCTAATCCTCATTCTGCAGTAGACCAGACATATAACAGTGACAGAAAATAGAGTACATTATGTTGCTCAATGCTGATATTATAACTCGAACATTTATAAATCTTTACACAATATTGTGTCAAGGATAAAATTGCTTGCACTAGTACAAAAGTTACTTTGTAATTTCAGGTCTTTTTTCTCATCAGCTCCAAAGAAAGATGACTCAAAATCAAAAAGCAGGTATGTTAACATTTTACTCACCGGATAAAAGTTAAATAGTTAGGATAGTTTGATAATCTGTTATTCAGCATCATTTAAACTTATCCTCTGAAATTAATTAGAAGAAAAAAAAAAGTGAAAAATGCTTGCCTTTAAATGTTTCTGTTTGTATTTTGTCAGTCTTTATGTTTTGTGTACTCTCTCGTTATATTTGCACTTGAAATGCATTTGTTGAACTTGTTCAATATATTTTACTCATTGCAGCAAAGATACTGAGAAATCTCCTGTAAAGAAGGTTGAAAAATCTCCGCTGAAACAGAAAAATGTATCGCCATCTAAGCTGCTAGATGACTCTCCGATAAAAGCTCCGGCGAGAAAGCGAGCTCGTATCTTAGAAAGTGATGATGAGGAGGAGAATGTACAAGTGTCCGACAAGGAGAAATCTAGCGAGAAGACAGTTGAACAGAGACTAGAAAAAATTGTCGAAGAAAAGCAAAAAACAAAGGTATTTAATATGAAAATAGGCAAAGCCCATGAATGGGGAAGTCTGATTAAAAAAAAAATGTTCATTTTTAACTTCACATTTTTCGTTGTAAATGTGTCATTCGGTATTTCATGCACCGCTTCCGTTTTCAATCGGAGCACCTCGACCATTATTCTGAAGCAGAAAAGTTGTGATTATTCTGTTTTTGGAATACCCCCCAATTATCATTGAGTTACATTAAAAATGGCGGCGCTCAACTATTAATGACACTGAAAATTTTACTGATAGGTAAAGAAATTTATTAATTTTTATGCTCCCAGTCCCAGGAAAATTTCGGGGGAGCATGTAGTCGTCTGGTTGTCCATCCGTACACCCTGAATTCGTGTCCGGCCCATTACTTCTTAATTTAAAGTTGGATTTTACAACTATTTCACAGAAATGATCACCAAATTGAGATGATGTGTCGCGAGCAACATTTGGGTCGCTACCTTGAAGGTCAAGGTCACAGCATGACATTGCAGCAAAATCGTGTCTGGCCCATTAATTATGTCTCCCCCACCTCGGGGGGAGACATATTGTTTTTGCCCTGTCCGTCCGTCAGTCCGTCCGTCCGTCAGTCCGTCAGTCCGTCCGTCCGTCCATTCTTCGTTTCCGGACGATAACTAGAGTTCCTTTTGACCTACAGCTCTCAAACTTCATAGGATGAATGGTCTTATTGAGCAGATGATCCCTATTGTTTTTGGGGTCAGTAGTTCAAAGGTCAAGGTCACAGTGACCGTTGGTCAATTTCTCGTTTCCGGATGATAACTAGAGTTCCTTTTGACCTACAGCCCTCAAACTTCATAGGATGATTGGTCTTATAGAGCTGATGATCCCTATTGTTTTTGGGGTCAGTAGGTCAAAGGTCAAGGTCACACTGACCGTTGGTCAATTTCTCGTTTCCGGATGATAACTAGAGTTCCTTTAGACCTACAGACCTCAAACTTCATAGGATGATTGGTCTTATTGAGCAGATGATCCCTATTGTTTTTGGGGTCAGTAGTTCAAAGGTCAAGGTCACAGTGACCGTTGGTCAATTTCTCGTTTCCGGATGATAACTAGAGTTCCTTTTGACCTACAGCCCTCAAACTTCATAGGATGATTGGTCTTATAGAGCAGATGATCCCTATTGTTTTTGGGGTCAGTAGGTCAAAGGTCAAGGTCACAGTGACCGTTGGTCAATTTCTCATTTCCGGATGATAACTAGAGTTCCTTTTGACCTACAACCCTCAAACTTCATAGGATGATTGGTCTTATTAATCAAATGATCCCTATTGTTTTAATGGTCAGTAGGTCAAAGGTCGAGGTCACAGCGACCGTTGGTTAATTTCTCCTTTCCGGATGATAACTAGAGTTCCTTTAGACCTACAACCCTCAAACTTCATAGGATGATTGGTCTTATTGAGCAGATGATCCCTCTTGTTTATGGGGTCAGTAGGTCAAAGGTTAAGGTCACAGTGACCATTGGTCATTTTCTCATTTCCGGATGATAACTAGAGTTATTTAATTTCATTTGTGAAACTATATATGATATGACCATCAAGTGCAATTTCGTTTGACGCCCGCCTGCCATACGCTGATTAAATAACCAGGATTTTCAAAATTGAATACCTGGTTAAAAACAAACAGTTTAGGAAGCATCTTCTCATACAACCTTAACAATAGAAACCATCCATAGACAGCCTTCATTGAAGTGACTACCGGGTATTTACATTATCTTATCTCCATTCCCATTCCTGTTTCCATTCACAGTTATTCTCAGCAGTGGGGGAGACATGCGCTTTTTTACAAAAGCATCCTCTAGTTTGAAGTCAGATTTTACATCTATTTCACAGAAATGATCACCATATTGAGATCCTCTGGTCTCTAATATTCTTGGTATAAGCAGTTATTTTCCAGACTGTATTGAAGTAAGAACCAGTGTCCTACCATATTTATAAAATCAAACCTGCATCATGACGAGTTCTACAAAACTTGGTTCGATGAAGTAATCCTTGAACTTTAACCCTTAACCTACTGAATTTCTTAAATGACCTAGTCCAGTTTCCACTATTGGAACTTCTATCATCAATTTTGTTGATAATCAAGATGAAACTAAAGTTGAGCACCGTGGCATGGATGTGCAGGCTGGTCTGGCTCTATATTGGTGGCAACGGCTTAACACTTTTTAATTCCAGCAGGGGAAGGGTTAAATATAACTTTTATCAATAATAAATGACAATCTTCATTTTATTGATATATTGTACATTATCTCTACAGGATGATACAAATGGGGAAAGCCAAGATTCTGGGAAAGGTCTTCAGTCTCCAGAACGTTCAGCAGCATTTACACCAGTCAAATCTCCATTCCCAGCACGTAAAACAGGTAATAATGTACCAGTGAAATGGAACTCTTATTCTCCCAAACCCGGGGTAATACAGCGGTGTGGTGTAAAATTTTGACCTCCTGTCTGTTAATGTGGTAGTTTTGGTGTGTTGCTTAAATAGTTGGGGATTTATCTTGACCATATTGCTGGGGCATGTTGCAGCTCTAATTTGTGGGTTGCCTTATTTTTCTAATTTGCTGATGTTGTTATGTTGTCAGTTTTATCTTGAATCTGCTTTCATGTTTTGTCAATTCTAGGTAATTCATGTTTGTGAGTTCTAAATTTTTCATGTTTCATTAGTTCTGAATTGTTCATATATTATCAGTTCAAAGTTTGTCAGTTCTAAATTGTTTATAATGTGTCAGTTCTGAATTTTGCTTGTTAAGTCAGTTCTAATTTTACATGTTTTGTCAATGCTAAATTGTTCATGTTTTGTCAGTTCTAAATTATTTATGTTCTTTCCATTCTAAATTGTTCATAATTTATCAGTTCAAGATTGTGCATGTTTTCTCAGTTAAAAATTTGGCATATTTTATGGGTTCAAAATTCATTCATTGTTTGTAACTTGACAGTTCGAAATTGTTTATTTTGTTGTTCCTAAACTTCAGTTTTAAAGTGAGCATATTTTGTCAGTTCTAAATTGTTCAAATTTTGTCATTCTAAATACATCAGTTCTACTTTGTTCATGTTTTTTTTTCAGTTCTAAATTGTGAGATCTAAATTGTGCATGTTTTGTCAGTCTTGAATTATGCATATTATTTCAGTTTTAAATTGTTCATGTCTTGTCAGTTTGAAATAAGTAAATTCTAAAATGTACAGGTTTTGTAAGTTCTGAGTGTTTTAATTTTTTACCAGTTTTAGATTGTGCATAATTATTTTGTCAATTTAAATTGCTCATGTTTTGTCAGTTTTAAATTGTTTATGTCATGTTTGTTCCAAATTTGTCAGTTTTAAATTGTTAATGTATTGTCATTTCCAAAGTGTTCATTTTTGTCATTCTAAATATATCAGTTCTACATTGTTCATGTTTTTCAGTTCTGATTTGTGAGTTTTAAATTGTGCATGTTTTGTCAGTTCTAATTTTTTAAGTTCTTAGTTTTTTCTCTTTTTGCCAGTTCTAAATTGTGCATACATTGTTAATTCTAGATTGCTCATGTTTAGTCAGTTCTAAATTGCTTATGTTGGGTCAGTTCTAAATTTGTCAGTTCTCAAAATACATGTGTAGTTAAAATGTGTCAGTTCTAAAATGTGCATATTTTGTCAGTTTTAAATTCCGTCAGTTCTAAAGTATAAGTTTTGTAAGTTATAAGTTGGTCATGTTTTGTTGGTATTGAATTTGTCAGTTTTAAATTGTTCATGTTTTCTGGTTCTAAATTGTTCATGTTTTTCAGTTCTACATTTGTCAGTTCTGTTCAGTTTTTGCATATTTTATTAAATTTGTAATTTCTTAATTGCTCAGGTTTTATCAGTTTTAAATTTTTCAGTTCTAAATTGTGCATGTTTTGTCAGTTCTAAATTGTTCATATTTTGTCAGCTCGAAAGAGCATAGGTGGCAGTGCTAGAAAGAAGATACCAAGTACTATAGCAGAGAGACAGGAAGAAGATATGATCACTGAAGAAACAGAGAAAGTCGATACACCTCAGGTATAACAGTTTTGTCATCAGTTCTGAGTTCTGTCTCAAATCTCAGGATTTTCATTGGTCAGTGTACAATCTGTGGCAGTTTCTGACCAATCAAATACCCGAGATCTTAGTTTGTGCTTACACAATTTCTTTGTAACCTCAGACCCAGGTCTTGCACGAAGTTCTGGAAAATTCATGTCAAACCTTCCATGGCCAATAATATTGTATGCACATTTACATGTAATACCTATCAAGGTCATTTGAATGAAAAATTTATCATGAATAGTTGAATGCACAATGTTGATAATAAACTTAATTTATTGTTTTAACATTTTGATAGTGATTACTCCAAAATCTATCTTTTATACTGTAAAACAGATGACATATTACTTTTATTTATGATTTTGATTTTCTTGTGGCATTCTTTCACAGTTTAAATATAATTGACACAAGCTGTTCATTCAGAAAAAAAAATCTATTTGAAATGAAAAAAACAGATTGGTAGATTTAAATTAGCAAACCAAAACAGTAAAGTTTATGAACAAACTGAGAAGGTAAAATTATTAAACAAATCAAAACAGTAAAGTTCATGAACAAACTGAGACGGTAAAATTATAATTAAACAAATCAAAACAGTAAAGTTCATGAACAAACTGAGATGGTAAAATTATTAAACAAATCAAAACAGTAAAGTTCATGAACAAACTGAGACGGTAAAATTATTAAACAGATCAAGACAGTAGCATACATAAACCATGACTAATTTCAATGAATTTGTTTTAGGAAACTGTAACAAAAGATGAAAACAAGTCTGCAGAGCTTGAGACAAAGGCGGAGGATGTAAAAACTGAAACAGATGAAGTAACTAATGAGGTTAAGATAGAAAAGACTGAGGACAAGGAAGATGTGAAGGACAGTAAAGATGAAGATACAGCTGAAGATGGGAACTCTGGAGAGGAGGCCGATGAGGCACCAAGGGGACACAAGAAGAAAAGTGTACCTGGGAAAGGTGTAGTTACACCGAAAGGTCAAAAGAGAAAATCTAGTAAAAAGGAAACCAGTCCTAAAGAAAAGAAAGTAAAAAGTGAAACTCCTAAGTCAGTGAAGAAAGGTACAATGAAATTCTCATGTTTACATGATACTTGGCATTCTTGACTTAGAATTTTGTATACTTTAATAACTTAAAAAAAATAATTTTTAATTAATCTAAATAGGAAAAGGTGATGTTGAACAGCGGTCTTTCTCGCCCTTTTTTTGGAGGAAATTTACCTTTGGGAGAGGGAATTTTTAAGTCGTTTAACCTTGTAGGAGGAATTTCAGCCAATATTTTGCTGCATATACAGTAGTGAAAATACTCATGAATACATATATTTTTTTTTTGCAAAAAGCAAATTTTAAAAGGATTTTGTAAGGTGTATCTTGCTTTTGGCTCATGTAGGCTGGTAAAATTTAAAAAAAATTGGTTTTTACAAAAAAAAAAAAAATTAAATGTAAAACTTTTACATGAAGTTTACTGAACAGACAGGCAAATCAAAGTATTAATTTACATCTGTTTAATTCTTTTGTATCTAGAAAGTGAGCATTTCAATGTTTTTTATTACAGAAAAAGAAGTAAAGCCGAAAGTTTCAAAAAAGGGGAAAGCACCAGTGAATGGCGTCTTTTGTAAGTAACAAGAGTTACATTTCTTTGATAACATCTCATTTACTTATTACTGGTAGAAATGACTTGACTTGGGTTGAGTGGTTACAGTTGTTGACTTTGAACCACTTGCCTTTTACCTCTGTGGGTTCCAATCCACGAGGAACTTTCATGTGAGGAAGGTATACAGCCATCTCACAGGCCGTTAGTGGTTCTTCTCAGGTGCTTATTTGTCCCTTAAATAATGCATGGTCTTTCTGCCCCAGTAAAGCTCAAAATGCACCTTATGACCTTTAAATTGTCACTGTGATTTAATAAACAACAATAAAACCCTAACAGAAATGACATAACTATGCCACCTCTATCCAGCCAGGCTATCATGCACATCCATGACTATGCTCATCTTTGGATCTTGTTATAAGGAAGCCCTCACTGCTGTGGGTTCGAATCCCTTCAGGAACTTTGAATTTGAATAGTAACCTATCTAGCTTAGCTGCTAGCTTATGGAACATTGGTGGTTCTACTCAGGTGCCCTACTTCAAACCACTTCCCCCTCACAGCTGTAGGTTTGAGTCCTGCCAGGGACTTTTTATTCTTTGAAATGAAGAAGCTATCTGGCTAGCTTATGGAATGTTGATAGTTCTACTCAGGTGCCCACTTGTACCTAAAATAATACACAGAGGGGAATCAGAGATCTTCCTGCACCAGTAAAGCTAGAAAGTCACCATACTTTGTTGGTGCCACATAAAACCCCAAAAAAAATAAAATACCACTTGTGTAGTATCCGGCCAGTACATTCATGCAGTTTGACCACACTGCATAATTTTAGTATTTTGACAAAAAATTCTTCAACTCTCCATGAAAGTCAAAGCAGGGTCTGTCCATTACATATATTCAGTGGTGGGTAGGAGTTTAAATTTGTCAAATACCAAATTATAAAAAGTAACTTTTTACAGCACCAAAGTCAAGTTCCAAGGATAAGGAATCTAAAGATGTAGAAAGTGAAAAGTCAGAGGACAAGAGTGTTAAATCTGAGGTTGAAAGTGAGGCTAAACCTGTAAAACAAGAGACGGAGAAGAAAAGGTGAGCAATTTTGGTGTTGTTTTTACAAACTTTCAATCAAATTGCGATAAGGGATTTCAAAATCTTTCATTTTGTGTTTATGAAATCTCTTCTTCTTGTCCATAGTGGTTTAGTTCAGTTTCTATTTATGTTACTGTATCTGCCAGAATTTAGTCATATGAGGTTTTTGGAAAATTAAAAAATTGAGATATCCTTTATGATCTAAATCAAACCTAAACAGGAATTCTGTAAACATGTTGACTGAAAAGTTCGGATAAAATTATTTGAATTTAAGTTAAAAGGCTATATTTGGTATGTGTATAAATATGCTCAGGGGACGGTTCAATTGGAGATATGCTTCCTACAAATAATTATTATCCGCTGAATTTTAGTTACCAGTAAGTTGGCAGTGATTTATTTTGAGAAAAGAGATACACGTTGGAAATAGATTATGCATGCCTGCAGGTATATGATTGAAATATTTGTTTGGAACAACAATAAATTAGATTTAGCTAAAACAAGTTTGATGTCTACTTTCAAAGAGAAAAAGATTTGATTTGTTCATTTTAACTCCTTTAGTGTATATCTGCAAATGGGGATAATAACAAATCAATGGCACCAAATAAATATACAGTAAATAATGGCATAATGTTTTGTTTCAGAACATTTTATTCTGTTTACGTACAATATTCATTTGTGTTGAATAACAACTGATATGAGCCGTGTCATGACAAAACCAACATAATGGATTTGCGACCAGCATGGATCCAGACCAGCCTGCGCATCCGCGCAGTCTGATCAGGATCCATGCTGTTCGCTATTAGTTTCTTTACTAGTTATAGGGTTTGTAAGCGAACAGCATGGATCCTGATCAGACTGCGCGGATGGTCGCAAACCCATTATGTTGGTTTTGTCGTGACACGGCTCATATTTACTATAAGATTAGGGAAACAACATAATTGTACCATTTATAAAATATTTATACAAATATTTCTTGAGATATATAGCGTAATACCCCTTAAGGACATTATATTTTCAATGCAAAAAAAGGTCATTGCATAACTTCAGACGGGAAAGTGTTAATTCATATATTTACTAAAAACATCTTCATGCCATGTTTTCTAATAAAAACTGAAATAAATTGCCAAAAAAAAGGCATTTTTGCAATTTCATTGATTGATTGATTGATTGATTGATAAGTTAAAAAGATTGTAATGATGATCCTGGGCCTTCTTTCGGGATCTTTCATTCATAAACAAGGTATAAAACAAGTCAACAATTTTTATTATGACATTTTTATTTCACCAGACTATTGACACATGATATGTACAGTAAATGTCATTGTTTCTATAACCTAACATAGACTATGTCAGCTCGACTTCAGTCATTATGTAGATTATGATTCGGTTAAAACTGATAATGTAGGAATATAGGCAGAAACCAGGGCCGGCAAAATCTGAGTCTACTTTATCTGACAGAATGACTTTATTTGTCTATATGATATTTATGTAGTAAATTTTGGAAATGTTTCACTTGTTCGTACATGCTACGGGCCCCACTTGGCCAGTACGGACAATTCATTTTGCCACCCTTGCAGGAACATTTTTTTTCCGAGATAAATACCACTGTTCCCAAATGCCCACACCCGAATATTTGTTCAGTACACAGAATTTTCAAAAAGATAGAAATATTACTAAAACTCAACGGGTTCATAGTCCAGTAGTTCAATTCTTAACTTTTCTTATACTTACTCACTTAAAGCAATTACCATTACTTTGAGCATCTGAAATAAAACTTACTAAAATGCCAAATTTAGATTAGATTAGCTCAATGAATGGACTGTGGGCGTAAATTTTTTTAATTAAAAAAAGAAAACTCGATCGGTTTTTGTTCCCACTTAATGAAATAATTTTATTTAGAGAAGAATCAAGATTTTCAAAGGGCACGTTGATGGTAATATATTGCCATGCACAATAGATACTAAAATATTTTAGAAAGTCTGTCTTAAAGGGACAACAATTTTATAATAATACTAAATAAAGTCCTGGTGGATGAATTAATTTGGATTATGTAAACATAAAACATAAGACATAAAATGCAACATTCTAAAATCAGTGAATAAATAAAGACTTCTTCGATTGACTTGAATAACACACCTACACCACCAGTTATAATGATGTAGTAGTTTGTAGGGAAGTCAAAATACCACATTGTTTACATTCTGTTACTTTTATCACAAAAATAATTTTATATTCAACACTTTTAGATCTTTCGTCAGGTCTGAGGTGTAAAGCATGTAACATCCTCTAAAACCTTCATTAAAATATTGTAAAAACTAAACTGTGCCCTTCCTAAAAAAAAGAGAGAAAAACTTAAAACTTTTATTAAAACATTATAAAACTGAAAAAAACTTTCTTAGGCAAAATGTGCCTTTAAAGACTTAAGGAAAGTTTGAAACTAGGATTCGTCGTTTATTTGATAAAATATTTGATATGAAAATATTGATTGTGTGTTTTGTCTCCAGTTTTATGTATGATTATATAATATTGTTGCATGTCCTGTTCATATCTATAAGAAATGATTGTCGTTTATACGATTGAGTGAAACATCGAGTCCGTAGGGAGTGGTTACTGTGTATGTATAAGTATAAATTCTCATGTAAAATGCCGTCTCTAATGAAAATCTAATGTATGAACGGAAGATTTATGTTCCTGATATATGGCCTTGTGCTTTGCAAATGACAATTTAAGATTATTTTTTGTCCTATTAGGAGAAAAGACAGAGAGAAAAAAAATGGCAATTAAGTTTTTTTTTCTTTTTGTCTGATTTATTTTTTTTTCTTTTTAATTATGAAGAATATAATGTGAATATTGAAGTGGGCTGTAGCAGTAGTGATATGGAGTGATTAATTGATCTGAAGCCGTCCCATTTGTTACGAACTTGTACGATTTCACCTAATATCAGTAGCACTTGGAAAACCCTGTCTTTATATTATTATATATGTGATATTGTATATGTCTATCAGTAGATTGAAATGTCTGAGAAGCATCCTTTATGGACAGTATTTACAACTGTTTTTAGGTATTTTATTTCCTGTCAGGCAATGGTTTGAACAATGAAAAATTGTGTTTTCTGTTTTGTTTTCTTATATAAAAACTTATTAAGGAGCGGATTGATTGTATTGGGGAATATCAAATTTGTATGGTGGTTGATATATATTAAAACAAATGGGAAACATTGAAGTATACGCTGTAATGAAAATGGGTAATATTAAGGTATACTGGTATACTATTGAAAGAAATAGGAAATAATTAAGGTATACTGTTAAAATAAATTGAAAATATTATGGTATAGTGTAAGAATGGTTAAAGTGACATTTTGCTCATATTTTCATTGTCAAGTTGAGCTGAATTGACTTTATATTTCAAAAGATTGACTGTTTAGATGATTGTTTGACCAACAGATTATATTGGAAAATGTTTAGGATAAAGTTTAAAATCTTCCTAAAATATAGAAAGACTGCCATGCTCTTTTTATAAATTGAACATTACAGGTAAATTGTAAATGATATTAAGTGAAATTTCGTTTGAATCTGGTGGTTACTTATCGTTTATGCGAAGTAAATTATTAAATCAAAAGGAATTATGGCAAAATGAAATTTTATTTTGACTCTCACCTGTTCACTCGCTATATACCTTTAGATGGACATAATGTCACTTTAAATATTATGGTATACTGTTAAAAATGGGAAAATATTAGGGATAACTGAATATCTTGTGTCACTTTTATGTATTGAATCACTGTTTTCAAACTTATTTGCAGTAGATTTAAACATTCCACTTTCAAAAAATAAAATGGAAAATTCCTAGTACTGTTTGATCATGACAGCCTTTAGCTATGGCCGATACTGAAAGCAACAGTAATACTACATGGTAAAGTACGTCACTATACTGTACAATGCCTCGGAACAATTATAAATATATATATACATGTACACATACAAAAATACTATAATCTGCTCAGCATTTTACTAATGTTGCCAATATTTTGTCAGATTTGATCACACTCAGTAGGTAAATAATATCACTTATATAAAGATTTAAAATAAAAACACATCGGATTTTGATTCCATTGAGTCTTACTAAACTTAAATGAGTTATGCAATGTTTACACACTAAGCACAGTATTTTTCCTTTGCTTTGTTTTTGACCGAGTATCCCTCATGTACAGACTAATTCCTCATGTACAGATTCGGTCAACCGAGTATGCAATTTTCATTTAATTTAGCTAAATTTAATGCGTCTGAGAGATAACTTTTTTTTCCAGATTTTGGTAAATAATTATGCATACCCAATTAGTTACAGAACATAACATATGCAAAATCCTTTTGTAATACTATCATTGTTGGCAATAAAATAATTTCAGAAGTTATTTTTTAACACAATTTTAGATTATATGATAAAATCATATATATATGAATATGAATTTATATGAATATGAATTTAAAGACAAAAATTGGACGACTACAACATTTTATCACAACCATTAATTATACTATAAGTATATTTACATTAAGACCAGATATTCGTATTGTTCTAAATTTAATGCCCTATTTGGAAATCCTGTGAAAATTATACATGAATGTGTCACACAAAAGTGTTAATTGACTTTTCATAAAACCATTTTTGTGCAGACGATGTTGAATTCATCATAATATATGAGGTTATCACTTAAATATCTTTTTTTTTGTATTAGTATAGCAAATTTTTGAGGAAAGCTGTGATCTCGATGTAAATGAGTTGTTTGGCAAGATAATAGAGATTTCCTGCGTGAAATGATTACTAATCGGCATATAGTAGATACCCAGAGAACGTTGACGAGTCATTCGATATTGCCGAACCTTCTTTAAGCCTCAGCCATACATGATCACCGGTGGTCAGGTGTAGTATGATGGTATTACTGGCCACACCGTATCCGGATCGATGGTCGCCATGCATTGGAACGCGTGGTTCGTCATTTAACATAATCATTACGAAAGCATCAGTCTCGTCTTGACTTAACACATGAGCATTGAAGAGGTATGTCCCATTGATTTTGCATACAAAATGTGATGTAAGTTCGTCAAATGCTTCGCCGTGATTTAGGAACACTTTATCAAACTCTATTGTCGTATCTTGATGTACTGGACCAAATTTTGACTTTCTTGTCACGAAGAATGCAATTCTTGGAGATGGCACACACTTTTCACCTTAAAATTAGAATAATCATATCAACTGTTAGTCTTCTAAAAAGATATTTCAATAAGCAGAACCAGTAATGTCTTTTTGTAAGACATTGAAAAGCAATCTTAAGTTTTGTCTGTTAGAGGAACAGCAATATAATTATGTCTTTTGTTGAAACTTTAAATGCTAATTCTGCTTTAGATAACACTTTTATTGCAATTCTTATCCTTAAATATAAAATATATAAGTTTCTCACATAATGATATATGTATGTTTTCAGACAGCTATATCCTTGTTGTTTTGTATGTAAGAGACTGTTAACAAGTAACATTTGAAAATTGACTCGATATTGCTGAAAGTGTTTTAGCTAGTTAAAATCTAATATGATTAAACCACAAACCTTTATTGCCTTTATCCCCCTTTGGGCCAAATGGACCCATTGGTCCTTGTTGTCCTTTATCCCCATCATTGCCTGTATTTCCACATTGACCTTTGTGACCTTTCTTACCCCTTGAACCTTTTAAACCAGTTTCTCCAATAGGTCCACGTTCACCTATATTAACAGTAAAGATATATTAGAAAATCTATTTTATCAAACAGTGTGAAGCTTTTTGGGAAAAAAAAGAAAAGAAAAAAAGAATTGGCTTACAAAGCAGATATAAAGACATGAGAGTAAAGTTTAGCAAATTTTGCAAATTGGAATGTTTTTGTTGGATGATATTTGGCTTAAATAGAAAAAAATTGAAAGAATTTATCACCCAGAAAATTTGTTGTTGGTGGTGGTAGCAAAAGAATACATCTTTAGCAATAAAGAGGTACTTCTTTAAATTTTGAATTTTTTTTTATTCAATTTAAGAAATACTTGACATTTTCACCTTTATCCCCCTTGTATCCTTTTTCACCTCTGTCGCCTTTTCTGCCCTCTGTTCCTGTTGCCCCTGGTAACCCATGCTGCCCATGTATACCAGAAGGTCCAGGGTCTCCCCGGCAACATCGTTCACATTGCTCTCCCTTTGTTTGAAAACTGGATACAACATGTGAGATAATCAGCAGTACACTAAGGCATACAAGAGTTGTCTGTCCTGTCATATTTGGAACATCAGTGGAGCCTATAAATGTGAAAGAAACATAATACTTGAGTCAATGATTGATTGCATTTATAACAGTTAACTGCCTTATTGATTTCATTTGCTTGGGTTACATGTGAGTAAATCTGCCCTTTAAACTCGAAAGTACACAATCATGTTAGTTGTAAAGAAAGTATTTGATAAAAAAAAAAAAATGCAGACACTTTGACCACTAGGCTGCACCCTGCTCCCCTCCCCCTCCTCCTGCATCTCCCCTCTCAACCCTTCATAGTTAAGTAGGGCCATCATTCTCTTGTCATTTGTCAAACATTTAATGACATTCCTAGCATAGCAAGACAAATTTGATGGTTATGATGTAATCGAGGCTGTTAGTCAAGATCAGTTTACATAATGTATTTGATCCATAATATTTGATCGGAAACAATTTACAAGGAGAAGATCGACTTCTCAATTTGTCTCCATTCAAAATGATGACTTTTTGATTATAAAATGTTTGTTATTGTCAACCCATACGTGCGACCTTGTGGGTCATTATACAGTAATTTGAATATGATGGATGGATGTGTACCGATGCACCGTCTATTCGAGAGGCCTTTCCTTGCATTTATTAAGTTTAAATACCATTAAGGAACATGTCTCTTGAAAGTTTTTTCTTTCTTTTTTTTATGCTTCTAAATTTGATAAAATGGATGACTATCTCTCACCCCCTATACCCTATTTGGTGATTGATAAGTTTTTGTCATGGTATGGGATGACAAAATCTCTTGCCGTGATTCAAATTCACTATAAAATCCATCAAAGATATTTGAAGAGGGACGGTTTCAGCACATAGTAACAGATGGGGAAATTTCGTTTTTCAATCTTGATGAATATTTGCATTTGAAACACATTTTCGGCAGCTGCCTATTGGAAGATCTGAGGAATTAGATTTGTCGTATTTTAAAGGCAATGAAATAAGTATTTTTGTCTTTACAAGATAAATTTATTTTCATGTTATCTTCCATATATTTGTACAGGCCTCTGTTGGTTATTGATAGTTTATGAAATTTGTGCAGACAAGGGATTTCGGTAGTTGATTTCATTAGTGATTTTACTGGATATTACTGGCAGATAATTTCTCCTGACAAAAATCTGGGGGGGGAAACAGGACACAAAAGACAATTTTTGTTGATTCTTTGTGCCATTGGAATGATAGATGGAAGATTGTTATTTTTTTTGCACTGTCTGTAGATTATGAGGATCAAACTTAGACCCTGACTGGCTTGTGTATTAATGATAATTGATAGAGCAAACAATTGCAGCAATATACTCACTACTTTATTCATATTTACTTTCATTGATTGATTGATTCACTGCAGGGTTGTCATTGGGAGGCAGCTATAGGCCAAAATAACTATCTCAAATGCATTTTTGGCTGTCTTAAAACTTTAAAAAAACTTGTTTTATGTGATCAAAGAGCAAAACTGACCTCCTCTTCTTCAATATAGATTGTTGTTTCTGTGAGCAAGAAACTTTACACTCATTGCTTAGTACTGGTTGGTTCCAGAACAGATTCGAGAAATATGGCTTTCAACACAGTCAAACTAATTAATGTAAATATAGGGTAAACGCACGTTTTTCTGTGTTATAACGTCTGCAGAGTCCCGAGGAACGGTTGGTGCCCGAGCCCGGTAGGGCGAGGGCTCCAACAGTTCTGAGGGACTCTGCAGACTTTATAACACGAAATAAACGTGCGTTGACGCTATTATAGCATAAAATTTTAAAACAGATTCGTGATGTATAGTTAATACAAAACACAATTACATTAAATTCTTGTGCTTGGACGGTATTTATCCAATTCTACATGTTTTACGTATGCGTTTTATTTTTCCGGGGCCAACAACTTGGAAAATTCTCAGAACCGAACGAAATTTTGAATTTTAATTGATTTAACAAAGCTTGACATTGGAGATTTATTATCTCAAGAAAAAAACAACGTTACATTACTCTACCCTCTACCCAAGACAAAACATGACCCTCAGAAATTCTTAGAATGATTTCAGATTGACGGTAGAAAAAAGATCAGTGACATCAGAATCGTTTTTTTTTTATTTTAGGGATAAAAATTAACCTATAGCATACAATGAAAATCCCTGGTATACCGCGGTTTATACCGTGGTTTTTAGGAAAAAACCGTGGTATACCGTGGTATTTTCTTTCTGGCGGTACCCAACTCTATAATTAGTATAAAGTAATATAGACCAACTCAGAAATTTTTTGATGACAACCCTAGATTTGAGTCTGACAACATAAAATCAAACTTTGTGCCAATCTGGCTTGTTTAAAATGTATGGATAGATGGAATAAGTTAAGACATTGCAGCTAGTATTTCTCTGGTTTTATTCTTATTTACATGAATGATTATAGCCTGACAACAGTAATAAATCAATATATCTTGACCAGAGAACTCTTTGATAGCCAATACTGGTTTTTCTATTAGCAGATCACAACCCCTATTAATTCACCATGATATAATTTCAGCACAGTCAGAATATCATTTTATTACCAGGCTGAATGCAAGAACTGTAGAAGAGTGCTTAGTTCATTTTAAACACTTTAACGTGTTGGAACCAAAAAACTATTGAACCAAAAAAACAATTTGTCTTTGACACTTGTGTAGAATCAGACCAGCCTGTACATCAGGGATATCTGACCAAGCTCTATACAGTTGGCTGTGCAACCAGTAACATTGTCTGATTCAGACTGCACAGATGACCTTGCTTCATCTTAAAGGTGGTATAAGCAAGTTATTTTTGCCACTTATTCAGTGAGAGAAGTTTGGAAGTGATACAACTTCTTATATCATAAGATACAATTATGTCCGAGTTAACACAGGACATCTAAATAGCAAGGAATCATTGGGTCATTACCATGTACCATATTGGTTGGTTCCAGGAAGCGGACTAGTTAGTGATATTGAAGTTTTAGATGTACCAGTAATTTTTTAGGGTCAGACCCCTCGAAAAGTATATTTTCCCATATTTCTAGGGGGGAAAAATCCCCTCCAAACCAAAAGTAAAAAATCCAAAACATTTTTGGCTTTTGAGATCCTTTTATCATGAGGGTTGAAAATATAAAGGTATTGCATCACAATTCACATGAACGGTTTTGACTGTTTCTATATTTCCCCCTTTTCCTCTCGGCAACACAATTTTCCCCTCTGCATGGGCCCTGCCATAATTTCCTAAAAGTGAAACAAAATATATATATTTTCTGTACATGTATATTCTGTTTTTTTATGCACAAAAATGAGTATTTTATATGTAAGGCCATTTTTTTTTTATATTTTGGTTTACTGATTTTTTTCAAAAAAAGGTAGGGTAGGAGGAGGGAAAAAAAAATCCTGAAAAAACAAACAAAAAACATCGGAAAGTCTTCTTATTTAAATTTATTCCTGAATACTGTATATATGAATATTTTAATAGTGTATTCAGTCTTTACTGTGAAGAACCAAGGAAAATGAGCCAACAAGACCTTTAATAGTACATGTAGTAGGCATGTTTGTTTTTACCAGATAACAAAAACATATACAACATTTGAACACTAAATTTGAAGATGTGTCTTTTTTATATATATTACAGTTTCCAAAGACAACTGTCTGTTAAATAATACAGTCAACTCTATTTCTTATGCTTTTTTAACTTTTTAGCATTTCTTGTAGCGGGCTTAAGTTGTTTGACATTGAAACATGTATTGCATATTGGTCGGACAATGCTAAATTCTTCTTTCAGCTGGGCGATCTCATCATTCCTTATTACATCTAAGTCACCGCAGTAAAAACATATCTCATCAAATATCTGTGTTATTCCTGAAAATAGAGAATAATGTTTGTGTCAGTAATCTCTCCAAATAGACTTTCTGTAAAAAACCAGTATTAAATTGAAAGAATCAAACATGTTACTATTTTAAAGTATTTTCCCCAAAAGATTTGAGATCTCCTTGTATATTTATAACTATTAAAATGTGTATGTAATAAATATTTTTCTCCTGGTATATTTATAATTATTAAAATGTGTATGTAATAAATATTTAAATAAAAGTGCTTCACTGAGACATAATTTGTTTTTTCTTTGTCCTATTTATTTAAGATGCCTTAGAGGACAAACTTTATTTCCTGTGTATGAATAATATGTACAATACAAGAATACTTAAAACTTTTGTAATAGAGTTCATATAATAGCTCACCAGCATAATAAGATGTTTCAATAGTGGTGGAACAATTCATCCCTTCTCTTACAATCAAGACATCTTCCATAGGTCCACCAGAAAAAAGTGGGTTCCCACAAACATACATCATCTCTTCCTGAACACGTATTATAAGGTTATCTTGTTGTCGTGTCAACCTGGTTGAACAATACACCACCCTTCTTTTGCCACATTCAACACAATGAACAAAGCCACGAACTTTACCTGTGGAAAATAAAATTAAACTTTTCCTTTTCCAGAATTCTGAAAACATTAAAATTGAGCTTTGAAGTAATGTTAAAGTACAAAATCTTCTTATGATTTGAATTCTAATAATTTATATTCTATGACATTGTTAAATTCAGCAATTCTATTCAATATTAAATTTTTATTCACTGCTTAATTCATCTCCTTTTTATACTGGTTAAAAATATAAGCATATGTATTGAATTTTCTCCAAATGAAAGTCCTCAAAAAGGCAGTTAATATCTATTACAATGCTACAGCATTTTTAAACACTTAGTACAAGATATACAAAGGTCAATATTAAGCATTTTGAAAACAAAGCAAATTAGCCACACTTAAGCTACTACAGGTTTGTAAATGAGTAAACAGATGTTTTTTTGAAGAGGGGATGCATATCTAGCTCTACAAGGTTATGTTTATTACAGTGCATTATAAATGGTTAAATAGTGAATTCTAATGATTTAATATGGTATTATTAATACAATGTATGAAAAGTAAGAACTTTCTAATGATTATGGTAAAATAAAATGTATAAAAAGTAAGATACAGCT